GCGCGCGCTCGACAGCGACGAGCTGCCGCAGCCCTACGCGGACGAGGACCGCGTCAAGATCGCGCGCGGCACGGACGTCTTCATGTCCACGTGGTCCCTCCACAAGAACCCGGCGCTCTGGGACGAGCCGGAGAGCTTCGACCCGACGCGCTGGGAGCGGAAGAAGGAGCCGGGCCCGGACGCGCCCGCGGGCTGGCGCGGCTACGACCCCGCGAAGATCCCGGCGCAGGCGCTCTACCCGACGGAGCAGTCGGCGGACTACGCCTTCCTGCCCTTCGGCGCGGGCAACCGACGCTGCGTCGGCGACCAGTTCGCCATCCTCGAGGCGACGGTCATGCTCACGACGCTCATCCGCGAGTTCGACTTCGAGTTCGCGTTGGACGACCCGTCCACGCTCGCGCCGAAGACGGGGTTGGGGGGGTTGCCGGTGGCCGACGTCGGCATGCGCACGGGCGCGACCATCCACACGGAGCACGGCCTCTGGATGACCGCGAAGCCCCGCGAGCACCCGTCCTAAGGGAGCCGTACACGTGATGCGCCGCCGTCCGCTTCGGGCGACGAGGGGGGGGGGCGAGGAGGCCACGCTCTCATTTACGTCGGGGGAGTCTCAGCCGGGGCCATGGGGGGCATATGGCGCGTACAGCAGATGACCCAATTCCCCCAGCGTCATCCCCTAGGATACCGATCCCCCGTATCCTCCTCCTCCTTAACCTAGCCTATAACGCCAGTGCTATGGTTCACCTCATTTGGGTCATGCTCCCACAGCGCTACTACCTGTAAAGCTAACCTGCTACCTACACATACCTGCGCATCACGCAGAGCCTGCACACGCAGCGCTGAAAGATTCGGCGCTAACATTTAACACCCGAGATCGCATCGATTCCGACGTGTTTCAGGCGCGGGTCGCGGTTCGGGCCGGGGAACGTAGAGAGGCAACTTCAACATTGCACTGATCGTGCAAACTTTTTGACCCAGGACTATTCGGATTTTATTTTGGTTTCGGCACTGGAGTGCCGGGTTGCCTGGCAACTAGGCGTGTAGCTCGCGACGGAGGGCAGTTGGGGGAAAATTGCGAGTTTTCGTTCCCCTGATACTTCCCTCGGGCCTACTATCGCCCACAGCGCGCTGCTCGCTGCGCTGCTGGCTAACCCACCACCATCCCCCGGGCTCCTCCATGGAGCTGCGTGGGGTCCCACCAGCCGCCCCAGACGCCGTCAGGTCGCGCCTACGGGCCGCTCCTGGGACCCTGCCGAAGTTGAATTAGAAAGAAAGTCCCTACTGCCGTGCGTGGGTTCGATCCCCGCCCACGGTACCGCGCTACCCCCCCTAGCACCCCCGTTGACCCCAACGGGAGTGGCCACTAGGGCAACGTAGCATTGAGCACAAAAGCTCGTGG